AAAATTTAGATGGCAGAGTGAATGCTGAAAATGGTGATTCTCGAGATGACAGGATGGTAATCTAGTATAGCTTGAAAAGTTCAACCAGAAGTTAATGAAACCATAGGCAGTCATCATTAGCTATTATTTATATCTTTGAGTTGTTTGCCAATAAAGTGCTTATATATATTAAATGACCGAAAGTAATAAGCAGAGAATGAGCCAGATTGAAACACGTAAATGGAACTCTGGCACTGGCAAAAAAATTTTTTTTTCTCCTTTGCTGCATTATCCTACTCCTGGCACTTAAAAAATTTTTTTTTCTTTTTTTTTTTTCCCCCCCCTGCTTGCTAAAAGTAACGTTCTTCAGGAGACTATAAACCTGTATCAGGTCTCTTGTTTACATACCTGTGTCTTCTCTGTTATATGATTTTTCTTCTTTCATATCTGTGCTTATGGGTTTTGTGATTGTTATTAATGTAGTGACTTGGTCAAAAGTAATGCTCACATTTTCTGTTGCTGATTTGGGACAGTTCTGGTGGCCTAACGCTCTCATATTTTCAGTAACCAGAGTAGTTGCCTGCTAGACCAGTCCATTCTTTCTGGGCTTGTCTGATTTTTTTTTCAGATTGAACTGCTTGGGCAATAGGACTGCCAGGGAAAACACGTGTTGTCCTTGAGGCGAAGTAAAGATGCCCTCCAAATTACAAAGAGGCTTTGGCATTACTGCATGTTTTGGGAGGGAGCAAAGGGGGAAAAGAAACAGAAGCACTATTCTCTTCAACACTGTCAAATTTCCTAAGTGACAAATCTTTTAGGTAGTGGCGTGCACAGAAAAAAGCATTTGCAAGGTGAGCTGGCAAAACAAACAGTTCTTTTTCCTTTAGGATGGACCTGTTCCCAGTGTTGGAGTGCAAACAAGGAGAAAAATTAATGTGTACCCAGAGAAAAGACAACATCTTATTTTCATGCCTTTAAGTAGGTATTGCATACCACAGGAGTCTTAAAAAAAACAAGTTAAAAAATTTGAAGTCGTTAGTGTTGTTTGAGTATTGAGTATTTTGAGAGTAGGGTCGACATAGGGCTTAGGGATATGCTGTAGTTGGGAACTGCCAGTGTTAGGTTAATGGTTGGAGTAGATCATCTTCAAGGTCTTTTCCAGCCTGGATGGTTCTGTGGTTGGTGTTGAGCACTGGCACTGCACGTCTGGCTTTCTGCTCTCATCACTTGGCTTGGGGCGTATGCAGGATGGACGGAGATGGTTGTTTCAGTGGCACGGAGGTGGAGTCGTGGGAGCTGACACTGATGTAGTCACCAGAGGCAGATTTACAAGCTGTGGTTCTGTTGTACATTAGGAAATTTTGCCTGGGGAGACAGGTTTGAAAGCAGTGGTTTCCCCAAAGTGATCTCAGGGAATGCATCTCCCTGACTTAGAGCAGCTGAGGTGCTGTTGATGGCTCTGCTGTGTTAATGTTCTCTTAGCAGTAGAGAGTTCTTTTGTTTTGTTCTTTTTCTTTGAGATTATTTTCAGAAGACATAGAGCAGGCTCCTAACTTGCAGAGATCAGATAGCTGAAGAAGGGGGCTGGGGAGGAAATTATTTTTTGGAAGTTGAAGCATGTTTTCCTATGGTTACTCTGCCCAAGTACATATAATTATTGTACAGAGTATCTCTAACTTCTCAGTAGGTGCCATATAGAAAGCAGAAAACGAATAGAAAACCACTCTGGTTTAGTTTTTCGTTCTTGTTATATTAGCCAAGCACTTGTTTTACTGCAATAACACCCTGGATGCTGTTGTTATTGTAGTTGTTGGGAGGGGGAATATGTTTAGGTTGCCCGTTAGGGAACGTTACTGTTTGTTGTAAAAATATATTGCAGGTAATGATCAGAGGTCTTTGCCCAGTAGTGACCTTTTATTTTTAGAGGTCCTTTAGTTTCTTTAAAGTCTCTCAAGTATAAATAAATTTTGAATGCCACAATAACTTGGTGGAGGTGGAAAAGCACCTTCATTAGTTCAGGACCTGTTCCTGCTGATGATAGATGATCTGAGCCAATTTGTGTGATGTGCAACTCATAATGTACTAATGACTTCTGTAACACAGCTGATAACATGTTCACCCCTGTCAGTAGGAGATACGTGACTTTTGTGTGGCCTCATTTTCTGGAGGACTGTGCACTTCTGCTGTTACAGCTAACCTGGCCCTTTGTGGTTTTGGACCTCAGACGGTCAGTTTGAGGTGTTTACTAACAATTGTTGATCAAATTGTTTTCTGGAAACTCAGCTCTTTGGGTGTTACAAAGCAGGCTCAATTATATGGAACTGAAATTTCATCAGCAGATGGAATAAATCAGCTTTTTACTTCCAATACCTTGAGGTTCATGTGCAGTGACTTTACTTGAAGAAAACAAAGTAATTTCTAGCACTTTGTACTGCAAATAAATTGGCTTTATAGACTGTCACAATCCATGGCAGTCATGACCAGAAAACTGGGATGCTAATAAAATAGATGGGAAGATGATGTGGCGTGATACGTGGTATCCAAAATCCACCATTTCATGAAGTGCTGCCCCATATGACAGACCACATTGCCTTGTGCGAAATGGGCACGTCTTGTTCTCTGAAATTCCTTGTCCATTTTTGGTATCATTTCTATTGAAAAAGTGAACCCTGTTTTATGAAAAAGCAGTGTACTTACAAATGCACAAGCTATTTAAAGCCTGAGTTGGCAAAAGCCAGGAAGCGAACGTGAAGACTGCTTCGTACCAGGTCTGACAGATGTGCTTTCTTTTCCCAACTGCATGAGTCCTGGGCAGAGCTTTGCCTTCCATATCCCAGCTTTTGGCAAGTTCTGCTGCAGCCCTTGAAGTCTTGTTGAATATTCTGCCCCATTGTTCACAGAAGCGCCATGGCTCGAGCCGTGCTGCCTTTCTTACAGTGGGCTTGTCCCATCTAAACCTAGATTCAACCGTGGTGCAGTTTTAAAGCAGCATATTAAATACATACGTATAATATACACACATATGCACGCAGGTTTGTATTGTGCTGTAAATGTCATCACTGCAATCTAAGATGTCATTTGACTTTCTTCTCTAAGTTATTTGGTGGCTTTCAGAAGTCAATACACAAACCTTTCATAGAGAGGTTATTTACTGGGAGAACTGTACAAAGCTGGCTTTCAGTGGAAACTGATTTTTATTATAGTCTCACTTAAAATTTCTGTAGGGAGAGTGATTGGCTTTTTCCCTTCTATCTTGATTCAGACATCTGCCTTCATTTCTTAGTAGAAATCACTCAGACCTACTTAACAGAAGTAGATTTGAGTAATTAACTTACAGGTTTTAAAAGTCTCTGAATCATGCTACTGGATTCAGGATGAGTGCAGGGCATTCTTGTGCACCGGAGAGCTTACAGTCTGAGTTAAGGCAAGACCAGACAAAAGAAGCAATGTAAGAAAAACAGTTTTGTTAGGAGGTAGCCCTAGGGTAGAAGGGTCATTGTCAAATGTACATAATCGGTACTTACAAATTGGTTGAGACATGTAAATAGCAGCAGTAAGAAAGTAATCTTGCTATTTTTATTTGAAGCAGAGTGCTGTTCTAAAAGTTGAGCCTTTTGACGTAAGAAAAATGAGGAATTTTTTCCTCTTGTAATCAGGTTTAGTTATAACTTTATATTAATAGTGACAAAGTAGTTCATATCTTGTCGCTCCTCAGTAATTATATCGTGATCCCTGTTCGGTTCATCAGCCCTGGGAAAAGTTCAGGAATTACAGTACTTGTTGAACTGCTTTCTGAGACTGATGAAGCACAGGTCTAGCAGCATGGATGCTTCTAGACAGCGGGTTTGTAGATAGCTCAGGATAAATTCTGGGTGGGAAGGAAAAGTGGGAGATAATCCATGTACAGAATCATGTTTTGATTGTCCCTATTGTAAAGGAATCTTCTGATGGTCTGTAAAATTCCGTGATGTTAATCGACAGCTTTGAAGCTTTGGTTTGCTTAGCATGGTGTTTAGAAAAACTACTTCTTGCCTGTGTAGGGAAGTTGGCATGCAAATCGTTCTCCCTTTTGGGTGTAGGAAGATAATTCAGTTTTTATCATCCCAGCAATATTTCTTTTTCTTTGAGATTATTTTCAGAAGACATAGAGCAGGCTCCTAACTAGTCCTTCAGTTCTTAAAATCCCACTGTACTTTGAAGATAGAGCAGGCTATAAATCTAGAGTGTGCTAAATGTTTTCCATCAAGAGTCAAGAGCTGGAGATTCTCACGGGTTCATTGTTGAATTATTTTTTTTTTTTCAGTGTAGTTGTTTTTCTACCTCACCCCAATTTCAATGTCTACTGTCTACTTCAGACAGCGTTTGATCATACAGATACCAAATTTATGGTAGAAAATAATGTGCACGGTAGGCTGTGACCAGCTGAAACAATGTCAATGTAGACATCCCTAGCTGCTTTTATGTACTTCTGTAGCTATTTGTAGAGGGTTTCTTTCTCTTCCATACTTGATTTCCAACAGCATGGTGATCTTTGCAGTGCAATAAAAATAAAGGGAATTTTCTGGATGGGTAACATTGACATCCCATGACTTGCAGTCCCTCCTGTGTGTTAGTTTTTCCAGTTGGTTTTACTAATCTGAACAAAATATGCTGCATGAAATACAACTCCTTTTGAAAAATATTTTGTTGGAGCTTTTTAAAATTTTCCTTGGAATTTCTAATATAAAAAATATTTTCTAAAGTTAAACCAAAAAAAAAAAAAAATCTGCTTTATGGGTTCAAACATTATCTGGGAGAAGTTGAGGAGAGAAGGAAAAAATAGACTTGTTTTAATGCTGCTTTTTCTACTAATAAAACCCTAATTATCCTTCAGGTTGTTTAGATTTCACTTCATATGTCAGCAGTAAAAATAATTAGGCATAGAACATCTCATGTGGCCCCCCCCTTTTTTTTTTTTTTTCTCCAATATCAATTCACTGCTAATTCCATTGAATGATCTATTTGTCTTCTTTATTTTTTAGCTACATGAAAGTAACTATGATGCTGGAAAAGCCCTGCAGCGCTTGGTGAAGAAACCTGTGCCAAAACTGATTGAGAAGTGTTGGACTGAAGATGAAGTGGTAGGGAAATAAATTATTCCCCTGAGCCTTTATAGTTCATGTTGTGTCTCTTGCTTTTTTCTTTCTTTATGTTTTTTTGGTTTTTTTTTTCCTCTAAAGAGGTTACCTTTATGGGAAAGAGGGCCAAATAATTTGCTGCACAGGATAAATTTTTGCACAATGCTGAGTTAGTGAGCTCTCATTTGATTTATAGAACTTAATTAGAATGAGGAAAATATCTTTCTAATAGCAGAATAAGAGAGGAGGCAATCAAGTGACTGTTTTTGAGAGGATTCTATAGGGTAAATGAACAGCTGCAAAACATCTGGACTCGAAATTTCACTTTCACCTCCAGGAAGGCTGGCCACATTCATTAATTGGAGTAGGATAAGATGCAGAAGGCATACAAAGTATTGTTCCTGTTTTTTTCCCTGCTGGCATTGGAGGAGGCTTACAGTGTCAGCTCAGGCTGGCTAATGGGAGGTTGGATATCAGTCCTTCTCCTAAACAGAGTGTGAGATTAAGTCCTTTCTTCCCCTCATACAGAATATTAGAAAGTGTTCACTGGCATAGTTCTTGATGGATGAATCTTTTGACAAAGAGCAGACCAAGAACAGATGATCTGAAAGCTGGGATTTAGCCATGCCTTCCACCTCTCATTTAGAGTATGTCGAAATTGTCCGGCTCTGAAACTGTGCTGAAAACGGTGCATCCATCTTACACGTAGCTCCTAAAGTCATGTATAGACGTGATGAATTTGGGGTGTGCAGTAAATACACGATGTCCTCGCAGGGACGGACCTGAAATCACTGAGGGATTTGTGCTCGGCCAATTTAACATCCTGGGACACTGCGAGTCTTGTCGTCTTACACAATCGAGTAGTTGCAGTGCTGGTTCTTCCATATGGCTGCTGATTTGGCATGTGCTGGTGGTTTAATCTTTCTGGGTTTGGGGTGGGAGTGCAGGCAAAGAAGGAATGTGTAAACATGTTGTTCTTTCTTTGAGACAGAGGCTGAGGGTTTTGGTGTATATGGCTTTGGATTGAAATGTTACTGTTGATATTAGCCTACTAAAAGATACGGCTCTGCAGTCTGGGTAGTGGAGTAAAATAATTTTGACCTGAGAAAGACACCTCTTCATAAAAGCCGTAGTTGACAGAGAGGTGGTGCTGCTGGGAAAGCACTTCACGCTCAAACAGACCACGTTTCTTTATTTCTGGGTATTTTTCCAGAATCTGGGGAGATGATATCTGTGTGAGAATTAGTGAAGCAAAGGTCTTTCTTGTGGTTCATTCTCCAGGTTAATTGCTGTAATTGTGAGGTTTCTACTGGCTTAATTTTTATACGTATGATATAATGCAACTGGGCTTATTAAACAGTTTTCTGTAGGGTTGTAAACTGAAATAAATCATGTGAAGTTGGAAGCAAATTATAGATTCTTAATTTGCTGACACCTTGTAAACAAACATTCTTAAATATTGCATTCAACACAAGATGCATTTTCTGGCAGCATTTGGATTACAGCCCTTTGTTTGTCAGGCCTTGCAGCTTAAGCTAGCACAGAAGTACTTGACTATATTTAAAAAAAAAAAAAAAGTGAAACTAGCGCATTTTCAGTACCCAGGAGGAACGCTGAACAAGTTTACTTGGATTGCATCCTAAAAATATTTTGCATTTTAATGGTGGTGTTAATTATGCTTAACAGAAGAGATTTATGTGAAATGTAACATGTAAGAAGACAGTACCTCTTTAGCAAGCTGACTAGGCATGTCTGGTTTTGTGAAGATGGAAAAACGTTTTATTTCCTAGCTCAATAATTAGGCTGCAGCATGCACTAAAATAGAAAATCAGATGATTGGAAGTTAGTTATGATAAAATATTTATCACAGAAGAACTTCAGACTCTTATGGTTTTTGCTGTTGGAAAAGCTTCTTCTCTCATGTACCATAAGAATAAATGGGGATAGAAATTCAACTTGTCATGTATACTTAACAGGCACATAAATGAAAAAAAATCTGATATGGTGTAAAACAGCATTGCTCATGTACAAGTGACAACAGAAAAGTTTGTTGCGGTTTTTTTCCCCCCTCCCCTACTTAATTGGTAGATGTATTAGAAGAAGCAAATAAAAATAAACTTTGTGATCTTGTTAAGTGACTAATAAAGTTGGCATTGGTGCTGTAAAATAGAAGTGATTAATAATGGGTGAAACTTTCATGGTCTCTTAACATTTTTTAATGATTCAGATGATGGCTGGAGAGACTTTTTTATAAGCTCTCGTTTCTCTGAAAGTCTTTCAGGGAGTTTCTCCAATGAATTATGTGTGCTTGCTCTCTCCTTATGTAAACCTTTTTTTTTTCAAGAGCTAGATTAGGAGTAGCCAGGCCATGTAAACCTGTATTAAAGTAGGCTTATTCTGAAATCCAACAAAGAACCTTTGTGGTAAGGAGACTGTCTGAAGTCGTAGACTGAAAGAGGATCATGTGCTAACGCTGACAGTAAAGCTAAGGAGGAGATGAGTAAAAAGCCTAGAACAAAGCTTCCGGATAAGTTTTCCAGTTATCTTGTCATAAAAGGGATTTTTTGTTTAGGGAACAGACTGCCGGAACAAACAGTTCAAGTGCTCTGCCCTGCGTATAGTAAGTTTGTATTCATATTGTTTTAACCTCTGTTTTCTCTGTGTACATTCTTTCCCACATTCATGGTTAAATTGTGCAGTGCCAACACCTCTTTTTTTTTTTTTTTTTTTTTTTTTTCTGTCTAGATTTTTTTTTTTTCCACTCTCCTTGTTTTTTTCCATCAGCTGCGCTATGTTGTGAATGCCATAGCTGCTGCAGCTCAGGGTGTTTTGATGAGCAGTCCATGTGAAATGATAGAGAGTAGAAAAAGCAAAGTTTATTGAAAAGTGAAACATTACTCCGAAAGTGCAAACTCTGTGAGTACAGAATAATGATCACTGACTCTATAAATCATTGTCAGTCTCAGCTCATTTTATCATATTTGTTCTTGTTCTGTTCCATCCAAGTTTCCAGAAACATTTGGCAGCCCTCCAGCCTCAGCAGAGCCAAAGATCAAACTGTGCTCTTATTTATAGACAGCTAAGCTCCACCTGCACAACTTCATAGCGTGTTTGTCCCTGGCAGTTTGTGGAAAACTCCAGATTAAAGCAGCTGTACTGCACTCTGAGCATTTCTGAGACTTGCAAGGCGAGTTTCCTTATTGTTGGCTCTGTGAAACTGAGGAAACCTCTTTCTGCGTGATACACGGGGTGCTAAAGCTGCACAGGAACTCCACAACAGAGTATTTCTCAGAAAACACTGAAGTGTCAAACCCGAAGTCTGGCAAAAAAAATTAAATTTTGTTGAGAATCCTAAGGGCATGTGTTCCCCCCCGGTCTCACGATGGCAAGTGATGAGCTGGAGGAAGCCCCTGATAAACGTGCCTGGTTGATAATCCAAGAGAGACACTTCCAAGGGAAGTGGAAGACCCAGGTCCAAACCATCTCCCTGTTTGTGCTGGATTTAGAATTAATCTCTTCTGGTGGCTCAGCAAATACCTACTTATTAATTTTTACAACTTGGATAACTAAGCAGGCACCACACCAGGTACAGAGTTTTGCTCAGTTAATCCCCTTACCTGAGAGAGGTTCTGTCGCGTGGGACCAACCGAAATCGTGTAGACCAGGACTTTTGTTGTCTCAGTTTTTCCATTCCTGCCTTTCTAATCCCATAATCGTATTCTGCCCCCTGCCATGCCTCTGGACCCCCAAAAAGTCACACTCCACCTTTTGTTAGTGTTAAATTAATTTTCTGCCAGGTTTTGAAGGTGAGGGTCAGCTCTGCTGCAGGGGAGCCGTAAGGTTGTGGGGCTGGGCGGGAGCACGGGGGCAATGTCAGGTACTCGGGCAGTGGCAAAAGCAGCCTCAGTTGAAGTGTAGACACCTTCATGCAGGGAAAGAACTGACAGTACAAAACTAATTCCTAAAAACTTTACGCTTCCTAAGTCGGAAATCCCCCAAGTTGGTTGATCTATTACTTGCACGAGTGTTTTCACTGAGTCCGTTTCCACTGTGCTGGATGATTAATGTTGTTGATTTTCTTGTGCATGATAGCAATGCTGTGTCCAGCACAGGTCTCTGTAGCATTCAGTAGTATTTGTGACACAACTCTGTGTGAACATCTCAAGTTTATTGAAAATTTATTTATTTATAAAGCTTTTAACTTTTTCTGTGGACTATCTGTTGCCGAAAGCCTTTCCCGTTAATTAAACCAGCTTTGTTGCATGTGACCAAAATATCAAGTAAGAGCTGCTTTGCAGTGATCAGAACTGATTAAAATAAAGGATGGAAGTTAGGTTATTTTTACTACTGATGATGTGGTTACAGAGGTTTAGATCAAATTAAGCAGAGGATAAAATTTGCCGCTGATTGAATTAAATGGAAGACTCTGTAAATATGAAGATGGAGGTTTGTTGTCTCCCTTGTGTTTCGAAACCTACGGCTATTTTTAAAGCTTTTTTATTCCAGTATGTAAATTCAGAGGCATACTGTGAAAACCAGCCTTCCACACTGCCTGATAAAAGTGGCTAAAGAAACTTCTGTGCCGATGCCTCCACATGCAGCTCTAAGAGCAGCTGTTTCCTGTTTACGCTACACCTGACAGCATCAGTTTCCAGCAGTGGTTTGGTATGGGGGGGTTTGGTTTCTCTTGTAAGGCTTGTGAGTTTACTTCTGTGGACAAATTTGTTGAGCAGTTCTCATATATATAATGTCATATTTAAGCACTTTGGAAGCGTGCAGCCTATAGAGCACTATTCAGCAGCATCACCTGGTGGAATCTTAGTGGTGGGCTGCAGTTGCAAATAGAAAGCAGGGTGGTTCAGAGTGAAGTCTTTGGGAAGAAGCCATGGAGCAAGTCCTCTGTTTTGATACGGATGGTGGCGGTGTCCTTTTCAAAGTTTCCTGCCACTGAATGCCATGGCTGACGTGTGGCATGATGCTGGCTGCTAGGGCAAGGCCGGTGG